GGGGGGGGGGGGGCGATGACGGCGGAGAGCGAGGAAAGAGCGGTCGGAGGCGGCTTCCAGCAGCTGCATTCGCCTGGCCTGCGTATCAATGAACAGGGATGCCCTCTGTGGGCAAAGCGTGGGAAGTCACTTTTGTCAATGGAGCTGGTAAATATCCTGAGCGTCTGGGGTTTTGGGGTTTTTTTGCAGCTCTCTCTCTCTTTTGACCCTGGACAACCTTCGCAAACTATTTTTGAGCGTAAAACCTAGGCGGGTGTTTAAGCAGGATCAGATGACCAAGGGCTTTACCTCCTTTCTGCCCTCAGGGTTACTTCGAGTAGTTTTTCAGCTGGAGAGAACCACGGAATCTTACTCCCTCCTAAGACAGGTGAGAAGGTGAGGTCCAGAAACACACTGGCAGAAATGTCAGGCTTCTGCTTCCTGGCCGAACAGCTAAGGTCCTCTTTTTGCAAGACATCTTATTTCACCTGGGTTCTCTCTTCTCTGGACATGATTCAATGCTCTATTCCACAATTTTTAAAGCATTTATCATGTTCCAGGTACCCTGTTAGCTCCCAGGAAATAGAGATATGAGGTTTAATAAGACTCAGCCTCTATCCTCAAGGGGCTTGTGGTCTATTGGGAGAAAGGCATAAATGAATAATTATAAAATACTATAATTATTGTGGGAAAGGAAGAGGTACTTCCCTAGAACATGAGCTCTCTCTGTGTCACACACACACACACACACACACACACACACACACACAGCAGGGAATTTAGGAAGGGTGAACAGTGAAGCCCTTTCAAGAAACTGTTCTAAGCTGACTTTCTTTGTGCATTTTATCTCCATTGCAGGACCTCAAGCTTCTTTGAGAGGAGAGGTTGCATGTCATTCTTCTTTGCACCCTCACAGATCTAGCATAGGGTTTGGAATAAAATACTGCACATGCCAATATGTTTTTGCTGAATAAGTGAACTTGCAAACAAATAAATTTGGCCAGGAAGGATGATGAATAGAAGTGCCACCCTGGTAAAAGGTCTGTCTTTTAAGGAGCTGCTCAGCTGCAGGCCCTCTCCATTCCTCACTGTATTGTATTGTCTATTTCTCTCTCTCTCTTCCCCACATGTTCTTGTCACTCTCAAATTTATCAGTTTCTGAGAGAAGAAAATGCAACTAACTATTTAAAAATGAGGGGAGGGAAAGCATGTAAAATATAGGATGAAATCATCATCAGGAAAAGTCCCATGATACGAGAACTGGAGAGTTGTTTCTAGACCCTTAGCCATGCCCATCCCTTTCTGTCTTAGAAAAGTTAAAAATAAGAAGCACCTGTGATCCTCAAATAAAAAACCTCCCAAAGTAGCTTAGATGGATGGTCCTTCAATATGAAATGGAACTGTTTCGTGACCCCCAAATTTCTCTAAATACTCAAAGCTTCCCTTAGCTGAGGATGAGGTCCCTGGAGGTGCAGGCTCAGGGTCTAGAGGAAGGATCTTTAGTCTATGGATCTTTCTGAAAGGCCCCTGCTGACAAACTTCAGGAAGCTCAAGAATATCCTTGAAACGTTACGAAAAATGACTGACCTCTGTGCAAATGCTATTTTTCCCGGGGAAGGAATCTTTAGCTTTCCTTCTATGTGCAAAATGAGTTCACGCATGCCCCTACCAAACGAGGGAAAGAACCGCTGGTTTAGAAAGTATAGTATAAGGAAAGAGTTGCAACCTCCTCCCAAGGGAGTCAGAAAGTCCTCTGTTCCTCTCACCAAAGGATCTCCACAAAGAGTGGGAGGGTAGAACAGAAATGGCCCATGCTGTTTGAATCCCTTTTAATGGACACTGCTCAGTCTAGCGCAGCATAATTGGTGATTAAGTTACTCTTTACTACAGTTCTTCACTCCTGAGTATTTCAGGCCATCTGGCCCCTGTCCACTGAGCATCTACAAAAGATCATGAACTTCTCTTCCTCTTAGATACTCATCTGTTTCCACAGCTAGCTTCTGACAGCTCCTTGTACTCGCCTCCCCAGTACACTCTCCTTCTTCTTAGGGAGATGGCTCCAGATTGATTTTGGAGCCTTCTCTTGGAAACAGCTTCAATATTTTCTGATTTGCAGAATGGCGATTCACAACACCTCCTCATTGCTCTTCTCAGGGGTGTCAGGTCCACTTCCCACCTAATCTCCTTATCAGGAAAAAAAGAAACCAAAAAACCAGATACGAAGAGGAGAGAAATGGGAGCCACGGGAAATGATTTATTATAATTAATGCTCTTCACATAATCCTTATGCCAGTTGGTGCTTAGAGTCCCCCTTTTGGGGTTTAATCTGATAATAAAATATACAAACACCCAGACACACTTTGGAGTCCCGAAAGAAAATGAATCAATATTTATTATTTCCTCAAACTACATGTACCCTAAGTTATGTGTACCTGTGTGTGTTTGGGGAGGGCGTTAACAGGAATATTGATTTTCTGAGATTAGCCCAAGAGTATAAGTCAGATTAAAAGCATGTAATTTTTTTTAGGATCCCCATTATGGATCTGCTTTTCTTATCCTGTCTTAATTCAGAAAATTGATTATCTTAGTCGTTTTCTATTCTCCTCCCAAGAGCATGATCTGACTTTAAAAGATCCCTTTCTATACCATGTTTTAGAAATTTATTTGCAAAAACAGTAACATATAGTCAAATGGTGTATGATAGGCTATGAACCTGACTACACTGAAATCAAATCATATAAACATGACAATGCAATAATTCACCATTTGGACATTTATTTAAGAAAGTCGACTGTTATAATTAGACACCTGGGCCATGTGATATCTATATAGAATATACAACTGTAGAAAAGATATGGTCACCGCCCTTGGCTAAGTTACAGTCACAGGGTGAAGGGATGTATTCTGGTTGAAATTTGTTGGTTGTTTTGTTTGTTTGCTCAGAATCCACTCCCCTTGTTTTGGTAACAGGTCTCACATCCTGTTCTGAGGGTACCACTCCTCCACATTCTCAATTATGAGGTTGAGGAAGTAGGTCCTGAGTCCTTTTAGTCATGCAGAGTAGCCCATCTTTCTGATCATGGTGATAAATTCAGAGCTAATCAGAGCAAAGGAGACATTTTCTGGGGCTTCTAGAAATGGAAAGCTGTCTCCCATGGGGTTACTGCTAGGGGAAACCTCTTTTCCCTCTGGACTGTGGAAGCATATGAGCTTCAATGAAGGTGCTAAGAAGAAAACTTGGAGCTTCCATCAGCTCCCTATGATGAACCCATTAGCTCCCTATGAAGAACCCATGGTAGGCAGAATAATTTCCCTCCTCTCCCCTCCAAAAAATGTTCACATCATAGTTGCCGGAACTTATGAATATGTTATCTTATATGGAAAAATGGATTTTCAGATGTGATAAAATTAAGAATCATAGAGAATCATAAAAAGATTATCCTGGATTATCCCAATGTAATCACAAGGGTTCTTAGAAAATAGAAGAGGGAGGCAGAAGGTCAGGGTCAGAAAAGGAGATATGATGACAAAAACAGGGGTCAGAGCAGAATGATGCCACCACTGGAAGGGATCATGGGCCAAGGAATGGAGGTGGCCACTGAAAGCCAGAGAAGGGGAAAAAATAGATTCTCCCCAGGAGCCCAAAGAAGGAATGTAACTCTAATCATTCTAACTCTGCAAATCCTTTTTAAAATATATATCCACAATTGTAAGATAATAAACCTGTGCTGTTTAAAACTACTAAATTTGTGGTAGTTTTTTATAGGAGTAATAGGAAGCTAGCACAGATTTTGGTACCATGGAGAGAGGTGCTGCTGTTAAAAATACTTTAAAACGTACAGGTGGCACTGGAATTGAGCAAAGGGCAGAGGCTAGAAGAATTTTAAGGAACAGGACAGAAAAAACCTGGATTGCCTTGAATAGACTGTTGGTAGAAGTATGGAATCTAAAGGTGGTGTTGGTGAAGGCGCAGGAGGAATGAGGAAGATGTTATTGGAGACTGGAAGGAAGAGGGCCCTTGTAATATAGTGGCAGGAAACTTAGCAGTCACATCCTACAGTTATATGGAAAGCAGACTTCTAAGTGATGAATTTGTTATTAACTGAGTAGGTTTTCCAAGTGTTAAAGATGTGGCTTGATTTCTCCTTGATACTTAGAGTAAAAGAGATAGGTTGAGGAACGAACCATTAAGCAAAAAGAACCAGGATGTGACGATCTGGGAAATTCTCAGCCTACCCGGACATTGAAATTAAGAGATTCACAGTCAAGGAAATGGGCTCTGGAGGGAAAGCCGAGGGTGTGAGTGGAGAGACTTTTGCTCAT